ACAGCCCCCCTGCCGTTCATGGAGGTCTGCAGTGGAGCAGGGGCTGACCTGAAGCCTGTGGAGAAGACCACTCCAGGACAGGTAACTGCACTTAAAATAAGCCGTGACTCTGAGGGGAGAAGTGGCCACCACTGTTGTGGTTTGGCGCTGGGAGGACTGCAACACGTGGGGGTCACCCACAATGGAGCAGCGTGGGAACGGCTGCATCCCATGGAAAGGACTCACACTGCAGAAGGTTCATGGACGACCATCTCCAGTGAGAGGGGAGCCATGTGGAGTAGGGGAAGAATGTGTGGCTTTCTGCCTTGCTTCCTGAGAAGGAAGGAGCAGCAAGCTGACTGTAACCCCCATCCCCTGCTCCCTGTGTCACTGAGGGGGAGAAGGTAGAGACATCGGGAGCAGAACTGAGCCCTGGAAGGAGGGAGAGGTAGGGGAAGGGGTTTTTAAGATGTGATAATGCTCCTATTGTGCCACCTTGTCTGTTAAGTGTTGTTTTCATTAAGTGTTTGAATTAAAATGATGTTCATTATTATTTTCTCGTAATGAGTTTGTCTTTTGCCTGTGACTCTAATTGGGTGAGTCACCCTTCCCTGTCCTTATCTTGATTCCTGAGCCTTTTGCTTCATTTTCTCCTGCCCAGTGCTGTGGGAAGGGGTGAGTAAATGGCTGTGTGGTGCTCAGTTGTCCTCTGGGCTTAAACCATGAGTCAGGATGAAGGAGGAGTTTTTCCTTTGATCATATTTTTCTCACTGTTCTCCCAACATTTTTTCATGTGAAGATAAAGGTAAAGCTGTCAGCAGTCATTTAAACTATTCCAGCTGACTTTGAATTACAGAAATTGAGGAATTATCACATAATTCTTCTGGATCATGAGCCATTTAACATGTATTTTAACATATATCTATTCCTCAAGTGAGAATGGCAACAAGCAGGTGGGGCTAAAATTAGCTAAACTGCCACCATTTTTACAGTTCATTGCTGCAACTGGAGATAGGATGCATCAACAACAAATTACAACATTGAGATGCAAGACTGCTATGTCCTTGAACATTTTTGTTTATCAAACTTAACATTGATGTTCTCACAAGTTCACGTTTTCTGTTGTTGCTCTGGGTATCACCAGAAGTGCTTCACTTATTTATTTTATTGTTTTTTTTTTTTTTTTTTGTTTGTTTGTTTTTAAAAAACAACCAAGTGCTTCTGTTTTTGCTTTTAATGTTATAGAGATTATTTATAAGGTATGTCTTATGTCTGAGAAATCTGAGAACTCTCATACTGAAAAATTAGTAAACATGAGGTCTTCTTAAAATACCTTTTATAAATCACAGATTAAATTATATTGAGAAAACTGTTCAATTAGTTAGCATCCAGACTCAAGTCAACCGATTTTAAACCCACAGCTTTTTACTTTTTGTTTGAACCCCTAATTAAGTGTGCTTTAGTCTAGCTTGAAAGGCATGATCTTGCTTTATGTCTCAAAGTCACAAATGTATTCAATAGGATGCAAACTGCTGATGCAGATATGATTCTGTAAAGTGTTAGGCTCCATAGGCATGATCCTAATTTCTAATTATATGTTCAACATTAAACTGAGGAGAATGAGACCATCTATTTGACTGGTGGGATTGGAGTTGCAGCAGTCTGCAGACTTCACATCTCAGCCCTCAGACTGCATGTATTATGTTAAGAAAACTGGAGGAAAAGTAGTTCTTCAGTAACATTCTGACATTCCAGTGTGCTTTTTGCTGTGGTGCAATGGTATCCAGGAAGAGCATGAATGGGCAATTCTGCTTGTGGCTTTGCCCTACCTTGTGAAGAAAGGCATTTTGTTTATTTATTTGGCCTTAAAACATTATCATTTAAAGATCACAAATAAGTAAACATAAACTTCATGGTACTGAAATAGTGCATGTTGTAAGGTTACTTGTGTAATAAAACTCCTCCTTGTTAAAAGAATTAGAAATTATTTCCACATCTGCCATCTACTAACTTTAGCAGATGTTTTAGGTGCTAAGTTTGCCCTGGGATAAGTGAAAGGGATTTTTGTTTTGCTATTGAACAACAGCAATTTCTCCATCAAATCACCTTATCCAGTGCATTACCCTTTCCCAACCAAAAAGATCCACTTTTGTTCACTTTCTTCCTCAAAAGCCTCACCCAAAACTTCTTCATTGTTTTTCTCTGCACTTGGTGCTTTATAATAACATTTCTTCTAGTATAAAATGTATTTGGATTAGCTGCTCATGATGGTGAAGGGTAAAGTGAGCAATCTGGATATCTTTTTGTTACTCTACCTTCAGGAGACATTATTACATGACTGAAAAAATGACCATTCACTAGAGACAAGAGACTCATTAGTGTTTCGTTATAACACATATCATCTGGCTGTGTTATGGAAAGGCTGTAGAGTTAACAATCCCACCCTTTTTTTTTTTTTTTTTAAAAAGGCATGGCTGACTTTATAACCATAACTAACATTTGTCCTGTAGTCATATGTGTGGTAACCTAAGTGAACTTTATGTTATACTTTATATATTGTCCAAGAAGTGGTGTGAATACACATTAAAAATAACAGTAAAATCAGCTATGGCAACTAGGATTGAGATCTTGCTAATTCCTCTGCTGACAGTTTTCATGCTATTGATAGATACATGTTGTGGTTTGAGCCTGGTCGGCAGCCAATCACGCCGCAGCCACTCACCCACCCTGCCCCCCAACCTGAGAATGGGGAAGGGAATTGGAGGGGTAAAGGGAGACTCACAGGTTGAGATAGAAACAGTTTAATAAGGGTAATTAAATGAAACCAATGACAGTAATAGAAAATACAAACGGGCAATGCACAACACAATTTCTCACCACCCGCTGACCGCTCCCCAGCCCGTTCCCGGCCAGCGACCCCGAGATACCAAGATCCCGCAATCGCAATCCCGGGAGCGAGCGAGAGAGAGCCCCTTCCCGACCACCCCTCCTCTCTACAGTGAGCGTGGCGGTCCATGGTATGGAATATTGCATTGCCCAAGTTGGGTCTGGTGCTCGGGCCGTGCTCCCTCCCTGCTCCCTGTGCCCTGGCGCACGGGCAGAACAGGGAGAGTTGGGGAGTCCTTGGAGTCTCAGTACCAGCTGGAAACAGCCGTGTGCTACCAGCGTTCTTCTCACACCGAAGCCGAATCTAAAACACAGCACTGCTCTAGTTACCAAAAAGAAACATTAACTCTCTTCCAGCCCAAACCAGGACCCGGGTGTGGGGGGGGCAGCCAGCGCCAGGCCTGCCCATCACTTGGGAAGTAGAGCCCAGCTGAAGCAGGGCTGCTCAGGGGCACCGTGCAGGGGGGCGGGTGGAGGGGTCTTCCCCCAGGCCCTGGAGCCTGGTGTTGGTGCTCGCCACGGCAGGGAGGGGGAAGGGGGAGTAGCTGTGGGGGCGTGAGCACTCTGGCAGGATCTCTTGGGGAGGTGAGTGATAGCTGGTGCCTACCAGCTGCCTCCTTGGGCTTCTCCCTCCCCTCCGGGCAGCGCCGCCAGCAGCTCTCTGCGGGGCCCCTTCCGCGCTACCAACGGCTCACCTCTAGCAAGGGGTAAGGTACCGAAGGAGGTGATGCCTCAAACAAACTTTGACAAGTTGTGGCCCTTGTAAGTAGTCTAAGGAACACTGCCCGGGGAAGCGCAGAGCGTATCGAAGGGTGCGCATCTGCACTACCTTGAGGTGTATTGCCGAATCCCTTCGATCAGCTTCAGAGGGGTGAGACAGAGACCGAGTGGAACCAGGTGTCGGGTTGATGCCTACGCTTTAATTTATGACCGTGCCCTTGAAGAAGTGCTAAAAAGATCACTAAGAGAAAGGCTGGGTAACTGTCCAAGAAGCAAAAAGTGCGGAAGAAGTAAAGGTGGGAGGGGGGAGCCCGACCACTGACTCCATAGGACGAGGGGGTTGGTGCACCCCATTCCCCCTCAGTGCACACGCAGAACCCATGCTCCACCTTCTCCTGGTCTCTCACGGCAACGAGTTCACAGAACACCTGCCTCTCTGTCTCGTCTGCTCATCAGCTGACACGATGAACTTAAAAGGACACAGAAAACTTTGCTGGGTGTGCACCGACCCCCCAAGGTTACTGAACCTGAGACAATGCTGGAACCTGGGGTGGTGATCCAGATACTCTGACTCCCTTTCTCTCTCTCCTTTGCTTTTCTTTCCGTTTTTTCTTTCTCATGGATTTATCAGGAGGAGGCCACGTTGCTTACCATCCTTTCCCAAGCCGACGTTGTTTCTACCACAAGTAAAACATTTGAACCGATCCTTTGGTGTCGTTTCACCTTAATTTAACCAGACGGGATCACAGAACCTTTACGACTCCCTGGGCCCCCAGTCCAGCTCAGAACCCAAGGGGCTGCCCGTTGGTGCTGAGCACAGACTAATGTCCCTCTTGGCAGCTCACCGCTCCACCAGAAATGTCCCTTAGACTTCCCAGAGCATCCGGGTCTCCAGGGGCTCTGCTCGGAGCCCATGACTAGAAGATAAGAGGGGAAAACTTGTGCATGAGGATAGAAACACTTTAACAGGGGAAGGGAAGAGAGAAAATCATGCAAGGCACGCAACAGGAGCCGTGCCAGGAAATCTGCAGCGTCCCTCCCTCCCCATCTCCTGCCCGCTGCTGGCCCCGTCTGTGAGGTCCCAGCCATGACCAGTGACACGTCTCTTTTCGTTGCGTTTTCTTCGCAGAATACGCCTCACGGCGCCTTTCTGTCAATCCGACTTCTCCTGAGGAACAACTGGGGAAAGTCAGGCTACACCTGCATTTACCGCGTGCAGGTTCGTGGAAGGATATCGGGAGTCAATGCCATCGGCCAGGCACGAGGAAACCTTCTAGCATGAAAATCAAACATGAGAACAATGAAATGGGCTGTGCCAGGAAATCTGCAGCGTCCCTCCCTCCCCATCTCCTGCCCGCTGCTGGCCCCGTCTGTGAGGTCCCAGCCACGACCTCACACCACGCGGGCCCAGGCCTCTGTGATGTCAGGGCCTTGCTCAGTTCTATGGCACTCGGGGCCACGATTGCCCGGCTGGCGGCAGCTCGCTCCGTCCTGGTGGCTGTGTGCCCGTGGCGGGAGCGCATCTGCCAGGGGTCGCGTGGAGCTTTTGCCCGAGTGGCCGTGCCTTGGGCAGCCCAATCTCCTGGGGCTGAAGGAGGAGGGGCTGTAATACTGCAGGGGAGCTTGCTTACTGCCCAACATGAGGCAGAGGAAGGCTCCCCCAAAACCACAAGGGGCACCGAGAGCCCGTTCACGGAGGAGAGCTGGCAGCGAGGCGGAGAATGCGTACGTAGGCGCGGGCTTTGCTCCTTCTGGGGCCCTCAGCTGCGGGGCAGCACACAGGCAGAGCCTAACGCGGGGCCGGTGGGGATGCGGCGGGGAAGCTGGCAAGGGCTAGAAGCAGAGCAGCAGCCGCGGGGCTCGGCAAACTGGCCGAAAGCCCCTCTGGCCCCCCGGGGCCGAGCCCCGGAGCGCTGCTGCTGGCGCTGCCTCGGGGTCCTGGCCCGGGCACCGGGGATATCCCTGCTGCTCTCCCGCACAAGCCGGCGCCGGGTGCCGGCCGCAGGCACCGTGCGGGTGGCTCTGGGCAGCCTCTGGCAGAGCCGGGGGAGAGCTCGGCCCTCTCCTTGCCGGCTCTCTGCTGGGGGGAGCGGCCCCGGGGGCGGCGGTGGTTCTGGGGACCTGTCTTCTGGCCAGGGCCTCTGCGCCGGCAGCTGCCGCCTGCCTCGGATCTCACGGCGTGGAGACGGCGCACAAGAAGAAAGCCCCGTCTTTTTCCTCCCCCGCAGGGTCACCCACTCGCCGGCGGAGCGGGCCGCGGCCCAGCAAGGGCCTGCGAGCTGCAGGGACAGCTCTCCAGCCAAAGAGAGTAAGGAAGCTCAACACTGCTTCGAAACTCCTCCGCAAAGTCCTCCGGCACGCACCCCCAGAGCTCCTCTGCGCCGCAGCCAGGGGAGATGGTGCTGGCACGGCGGCAGGGGAGAGAGGACTGCCGGCTGCCCTGCTCCGGGCATGGCTCCGCCCCAGAGGTTTTTGGCAGGAGCTTGACTCAGCAGGGGAGGGCGAGCGCTCCCAGCCCGTTATTGGCACCTGGGCGCAGGGCAGGCAGCTTTCTCAGGAAAGATGCCCGAGATCCTCCCCCGGCTACGCGGGGGGCCTGGGGTGGAAGGAGCCAGCGAGGGGTGAGGAGCAGAGGCTGCCTGTCAGCCCGTGCTCGGGGCCCGGCCCGACAGCCCTGCGGAGCCAGCGTCACCGTGCTCCCAGGAAGGCCCGGGGCCCTCTCGGCTACGGCACCGCCACGCAGCTGGCCACCCTCTCCGCGGCCTCGCGGGACCGTGGGGCAGCCGTGGGCTACACCCAGCTGCTGGCAGCCCGGAGGCCAAAGCCTCGCGCCGCCCTCCTGGGGGAGCCCGAAAGCGTTAACGCCGCAGAGCTCGGGGCGGGGCGGGGCGGGGCGGGCAGCAGGCGCGCAGCTCTCGCCGGACGCGGGGGGCGGGTCGGAGCGCGCGCGGGCTCGTGTGGCCGGGCAGGGCGGCTCAGTGTATGTGAGGAAGGGGCTTCGCGAGCACCCGCAGAGCGGCGCCTGCGCAGAAGAGCAGGAGTTCCAGGCGCCGACGAGGTGTTTGCGAGCCACCGAGGGCCCCGAGGGGGCGTGGCCGGCGCGGCCGAGAGGCGGGGCCAGGGCCCGAGCACCGCCCTTTTCTCCGCCTCGCACGGAAACGAGCCCACAAGGACCCGCCCCCCCGCCTCGCCTGCAAATGCGCCGCAGTGCTTAAGGAGCGGGGCGCCGGGTCTCGCCGTGCGCTCGCTGCCGGGAAGAAGGGGAGCAGGCGCTGGAGCGGGAGCAGAGGTGTCGCTGGAGCCCGGGGTGGTGCTGCGGCACTCCCTTCTCTTTTCCTGTCTTACTCTCTCTCTCTCTCTCTCTCGTGTCCTGTGGGCTGTTCCGCCCTCTCCACACTAGCAGGGTTTAATAGCCACCACCGAATACTGTCGACAGAGCTTTCGTGGGGTTGAAATGGCTTTCGAAGGTTTAATTTGCTTCCGTTGACATCCGCCTTCTGCTGTTAACGTAATCTGTGATCTCCTGTTTGGTGCAGCATCGCCTTGATTTAGCCCAACGGTATCTTGGGCTAGGTGGCAGGGTGGGCTGTGCAGGATGACCCCCTCTGTCAATAACAGACCTCTCGAGGGGGAGGCAAGTCCGTCTGCCCCTAGCCACCGTGTCTCTGAGGACTAGCTAGAACTCCGGGGGATTCCTGACTCTTACAAAATGTCCCCTGGAATGCAAGAGTGCCGCGCCTGCGAGGGGACCCTGCCGGGCCCTTGGCTCCCAGGGCGCACCCAGCTGTCCTCTCTGCGGGGCAGAGCCCTGGCCCTGGGGAGGGAGTGCGTGGGACCAGCGCCCGCCTCCCCGCAGGCTGCGACAGGCGTCCCAGCGTGCGGCCCCAGGAAGGGTCCTCAGGCGCTTCTCTGGTTTCTCTGGCAGGCTTGGTCTTGACCATTTCCAGCAGTCCGGCGCAGGTGTCCCCCCAGAGATACCTCGGCACTGGCATCTCCACCCTGTGAGTGCAGCGCGTGTCTGGCGTGGACACGGAGCGGGGTACCGGTGGGTCGGGGGGGGCTGGCAGTGCTCCGGCCCAGGAGAGCGTGGCTCCCGCCGGCAGCATGCCGGGGCTGGGGCAGCTGCTTGGAAAGCAAGGAGAGCAAAACGCCCCTCGGCAGCCCCACTCGGCACGCGTGTCCGTGCCCAAAGCCTCGGCTGCCAGGGAGGCGCCTTGGGCACAGCGGAGTGCTCAGGGCTGGGGCCGAGCCTCTGTGGGAGAAGGCTCTGCCGTGGGAAGTGCCCCCCCCCCCCCGAGGAGTCTGCCCCAGTCCCTGAGCACCGGTAACGCCAGGACTCCCTCTCTTCCAGGCAAGAGATCAGCGAGAAGAGGAGCAGGCTGCTGCTGATCCTGTGCTCCGTCCTCATAGCCGCCATCGGTGGGTACTTGCCCGCTGCTCACGGTAGCACACAGGCGCAGGGTGCAGGCTTCAGCGTGAGGGAGAGGCGTCGGAACGCCCGTGGGGACCTTCCACGTTCCCGCTGCTGCAGCTCAGGGAGCTCCCTACACGCAGATCCCAGCCGGGCCAAGGGCCACTGCGGACGCACGCGGCCTCCGGCAGCGCAGCCCGTAGGACCCTTTGGGATGGAGGTCCCTCCTCTCGCGCAGCTTTCCTTTGTGGACAGGCTGTGCAGAACCTGCGCGGGCCCGAGGGAATCCCTGGCGTAGCCAGCAAGGCTGCGAGGGGAGGCTGTCGGCACTTCCAACGCGGCTGGTGGGGTGGGGGCGTGCGTGTGAGAGAGGCGGACGGGCAGAGGCAGTGGGAGAGAACAGCCCGCGCAGCGGCGAAGGGGAGGTTGGAGAAGGTCTTTCTTTCACCGTCATGGCAGCGAGAGCCAGGCTGCAAGTGCGTGCCGGGGACAGGCACAGCTCCTGGGCGGCTGTGCTGCGGCTGCTCCTGCAGCCCCCTGCTCGGAGGGGTGCTGGAGGAAGCGGAGGCGCTGCCAGCCAGGGCCAGAGCCGGGCGTCGCTTGGGAAGCGGAGCCCAGCTGAAGTGAAGTTCCTTGGCGGTGCCGTGCAGGGGGAGGGATGGAGAGGTGGCTCTCTCGCAGCCCCTGGAGCCCGGTGCTGGTGCTCACCGCAGCAGGGCGTCAGCCTCTCGGCGAACCTCTTGCCGCCCTGGTGGGGGAGGAGACAGCGTGACCACGGGACTCCTCCGAAACACTGGTAAAATGACTGGCTCTGGGTGCTGCGAATTACAGGTGGTGCCTGCTGCGGAACCGTGCTGCCCGTGTGGATTCTGCTGGCCAAGGAGGTGCCACAGGTCAGTGACTGTCCGCGACTGTTGCTGTGGGACAGGACCGTCCTGCAGCGGAGCGCTGCTGGCGGCGGTTGTGTCAATCGCCGAGTCCTCCGTCTCCAGAGCCAGCAAATCGGCAGCAGCTTCGGCTGTGCCTTCCTAGAGCCACCGCCTCTAGGACTGCCCTGCAGCTCTGGGACTCAAAGGGAGAGCCTTTCCCTTTCAGGTGCTGCCGGAGCAGCCCGTGGGTGAGCTGAAGTCCGTGTGGTAAGAGCCCTCTCCTGGCCTGCAGCTCCTTTGGTGGGGTGGTGGGAGCCGGCCTTGTGCTGTTGGCACTCGCGTGCGTAGCAGCCGGGGCTTGAGCCTTTTGCTCCCTGACGAGAGCTGCTTCCCCAGCGTCTGCAGGAACTCCCTCGCTCTGCTGGAGACAGAGGCCCGGGAGGTGCGAGAGCTGAGGGAGGAGGTGGCGCGCCTGGCTGCCGAGATGAGCCGTATGAAGAAGGTGATCCTGCGCTTTGGGAAGGAGGGCTGGGATGAGCAGGGCCTGCCAAGGGTGCTTTTCCCCGGCTGCTGGTGGGGTTTTCCTGCTCGCTCCACCCAGGCATCCCTCCGCAGGGGTTTCGGGTTGAGCTGCTCTGCTCCAAAGCCCCTTTGGCCAAGTTTAACTGGGCGACGGCTGGCTGTGAAGGACTGACGAAATCCTTCTCCCGGAGTACCGGGGCCCCCGGTAGTTGCGGGCTGGCCCCGGAGAGCAGTGACACACAAGTGCCTTCCCAGGAGCATCTGGTTCTGGCAGGGCTGAGCCCGTCTCCAGGCTCAGCTGGGCAGCGTTGGGGGTGGCCGAGGCCGCGCGGGCCAGACCCACGCCCGCGCCGTGGCCGTGGCCATGGACTGGCCTGCTGATGTGGTCGTCTCCTGTGTTTCCCAGGAACTTCAGGACGCGAGAACGGCAACGTCTGCGATGCTTCTGGAAGAGGACGTCCCGAAGTTGGCCTGGGCTGTGAAAAGCAGCGCAGGTATGGATGCGGGCAGGCAGGTCTGGTGGTGCTGGTCTCCGGCTTGGCACTCCCGAAAGGAGGCCGCACCGCTCACTGCGCTCTCCGAGGCAGGGGGAGAGGAGATGAAGCCACAGGCCGCCAAACAGCGTGCCTGCGGCAGAGCGGGTCCCTTGGGCTCAGCCCAGTCCTGCCCTCGCGCCCCTCGCAGGCGCCCCGGCGTGCCCCTGCCACCGTTTCTGTGCCCTCCCTCTCCGCTGAGCTTTCCCGGGGGCCGAAAAGCGGTCGGTCGGGTCGTCCTTGGCTCCCCATGCAGCGGGGCCTTGGCTTGGGCCCCTGCCCTTCCCCCGGGGGCTTGCGGGCTCCCCGCGCCCGCAGACTGTCTCTCTGTGCAGCTGCAAATGACGCTGGCACTGGGCTCGGGGATCCCCTCCTTGTCTGCGTCGCATCCGCGGGCACGGGGCTGTGCGCAGGACTGGCAGGCAGCCCGAAGAAATACCCTGCGGCCACTTGTCCCTCTGAGCCCGGGGCCTCAGTCAGAGTGGGCTGCGCTCTTCTCCCTTCAGGGTTCACCATCGACCTGCAGAGATTGCCCAGGAGCTCTGCGAGCCTCTGCGGAGTGTTCTGGTTCCTTTGCGGGCTGAAACCCCTGGATACTTTTGTGCAGGTACGCTAGCAGAAATCAGCCGCGCTGGCTCTCCTCTCCTCCGGTTGCCTCCCCCAGCTCCGATGGGCCCTTTGTAGATGGGGCGAGGCGCGGGTAGGGGAGGATGCATTGCTGCTGGGCAAGGAGAGGTCTTTCTGCATAGACCTGACTCAGGGGCAGGGGATCAGCTGTCTCGGGACAGCTATTGTCCGTCCGGGGGAATTCAGCGAGTCCCCTCTCCCCTCTGCTTTCAGCCGGACGTTTCCCCGGGGTACTGCTGGCCTTTCCAAGCGTCTCGGAGCTGGGCGATCGTTAGGTTGCCCGCACAAGTCCAACCAACCGCCATCAGTGTGCAGCACCCCCTAAAGAAGTCCTCTGCGCTTGGGGACATCGGCAGCGCCCCCCGAGATTTCACCGTCTCTGTAAGTCTCTGCCAGGCACGCGGGGCGGGGACCTGGGGCCAGGGAAAACCTGTAAGGGGGACTCGCCAGTCTCTGCGCAGCTGCCGACACTCACGCGCTGGTCTCTCCCGAACACGGCTGTGCCCTGAGGGGACACCTCAGGGGACGCGCAGGGTGGCGTCATCCCGTCTTAAGAGTTGCTCCGTGCCTTTTGGCCCAGCAGCTCAGCTCCACCGCATCCCGCGCCAGACTGCGCTGGAGCCCCGGCAGAGGGGCCGGCTCACGGGCACGGATCCGGCACGCGTGCTCTCTCGTGGCTGACTTGAGCCTGACCTGCTCCCCTGTGCTTTGTCTCCAAGGGAGTGGGCGAGGGAGGCGAAGAAGAAACTCTGCTCGGGTCGTTCACCTACGACGTGGAGAAAGAGCCGACCCAGACGTTCCTTCTGCAGGTACGGGAAGTGCGTGTGGGCAAGGGGCCAGGGCAGAAACGCAGGCTTGCCAGCAAGTCAGTGGCAGGAGGGTGGCCGGTCCCTCCTGGGGCGGGGGCCCATCCTTGGCTGAGAGAGACGCGGCAGGCTTCGGAGGGCCGAGCAGCGCCCAACAAAGGCGGCCAAAGCCGAGCGAGACCCAGCTCCGTCGGCCCCACGGGCGTGCGGGTCCCCAGAGCTCCCCGCCTACGCCGGCTGCTTCTGGCAGAGCCAGCCACGGCCCTGCCGCCCCACGGGTGCTGCGCGCTGCCCTGAAGCGCAAGCGTCGGGTGGCGACAGCCCACCTGTGGGCAGCCCCACGGAGATGCCCCGCAGCCCGTTGCAGGGTGGCTGGCATCCCCGGGCCTGGGCTCTGCTGGGGCGGCAGGTGGAGGAGCTGCGGGGTGCTGCCACGGCCCACGCGCAGGAGCGCTCCCTGGCCACTCTGCCAGCACAGGGGCCGCAGCGAAGGGAAGGATGGGAAGGGAAGGGAAGGGAGGGGAAGGGCTGGTGGCACGGGGACCGAGCCCAGCCGGGCAGGCGGTGGCAGGGAGGGCACCCCGCACCTTGCGCCAGCAGCAGCACCCTCCCCAGGCTCCATTTCCTCCCGCAGCCAGCAAGCCTCACGTTTCCCCGGCGGCCCGGCCCGCTCTCTGAGGCCGGGTGTTTCCCTGCACAGGCACGGGGGTGCTGGGTGGGAGAAGGGAAGGAGAGAGAAGCTGTCCCCTCGGCCGTACGGGAGCTGTGCCTCCCGGAGCAAGGGCCACGCTGGCAGAGGAAGACGCGCGGGGCCTCCTGTCGCTCCGTGCGCTCCAGCAGTGACACGTCTCTTTTTGCTGCGTTTCCTTTGCAGAACAAGCCTCACGGTGCCTTTCGGTTCATCCGACTTCTCATAAATAGCAACTGGGGGGAGTCGGACCACGCCTGCATTTACCGCGTGCAGGTTCGTGGAAGGATAACGGGAGCGGAAGCCGTCGGCCAGGCACGAGGAAACCTCAAGTGAAAATCAAAACCGAAGAAGGGCAGCAGATCCCCCCCCCGAGCATAGGAACGCGGCTGCGGGTCTGGAGCAGAGCCGTGTCCGTTCACAGGCCCCCTCCAAGGCCACATGGGGCCTAGGCACAGCGGGGAGCCTGGGCGGACCTGGGACACGTGTGGAGGCCTGGGCTGGGGAGGGAGGGGGGTGTGTGGCCAATATCACCCCCAGGAATTCCTTGCTCAACCAGGAGGAATCCCCCTGCTTGGTTCAGAGGCACAAGCAGCTGCTCGGACTGGCCGTGCCTGGCGTGGGGGGCCAGTGTTGTCTGTTCCTGGGGCGGCTGGATCCGGCTGTGACACTGGCTCAGGACGGCGGCCGCCAGGCATCTGGTCCGTGCCCACCGGTGTGGCAGCCCCACGTAGGACCCTCCCGCGAGGAGCAGCCAGAGCCACGGGGGCGCTTGGAAGAATAGAAACGTTTTGGGGGCTTGCTTTCCTCGTTCCTGAGAGAGGGAGTTTACTAGCCGTGGGATTGGCAGAAATCCAGGAGGAGGATGTGTGCGTCCTCAGTTTGTGTAGCCTAATCTCTGGCCTGGGGTAACGTCAGAATGGGGCTTTTGTAAGAGCTGCGGGACCACGCAGAAGACTCCAGGCAGCACAGCGGAAGGGGTTAGGGCCCGGTGGACCGCCAGGCTTCCAGCTGTGTTGTGCCTAAATAGAGTGAGAGCTATTTGTAGTCCCTTGGCGACAGTACGAATGCGTAGCCCGGTCAAATAAAATCTGCACTGATTTCTTCCAAACACCGTTCGGCTTCTCTTCTTCTACAGCTAGAGGCCGCTTGCTCCAAAGTCAGGCAAGGATTTAACAGTCAAAAATGGTTTCCTGAGGTATCTGGTCGAAGGCTCCCCTGGTGCTCTTTTCCCCAGAGAGAGGCTCGTCCCGGGTGCGGCTGGGATAGGGTTAATTTTGGCAAGAGGCTGGCAGGGGGCACAGCCAGGGTCGCTGCCCCAAAGTAGCCAAGGGGATATTCCATACCACAGGACGTCCCGCTCAGTATGTAACTGGGGGAGCTGGCCGGGGACTGGGGGAGGAGGGATTGCGGCTGGGAAGGGGGCTGAGCGTCAGGTTCCGGGTGGTGAGCAATTGCATTGCGCACCACTGGCTTTATGTGTTCTTCTGTTAGTAGTGTTGGTATTACCGTTTCTTCTCTCCGTGTGTTGTCCCACTAAAGTCTCCTCCTGCCAGGCACGAGGGGTGCTGCTCGGTGCTGGTGGAATCACCCCAGGGACGCAGTGCCTTGGCAGAGGTGGCACAGCCCCCCCAGGTGGCCTGTGCACCCGGGTATGTAGGTTGTCGTGGTTTGAGCCTGGTCGTCAGCCAACCACCGCAGCTGGTCACCCACCCTTCCCTCTCCCCGCCTGGGGACGGGGGAGGGAATTGGAGGGGTGAAGAGAGACTTGCAGGCTGAGGTAGGATCAGTTTAGTAAGGGCAAGAAAACGGGAAGAGGGATGATAGTAGGGAAAAAAAAAAAAAAAAAAAGAAATACATAGACAGGCAATGCACAACGCAATTGCTCACCACCCGCTGACCGCTCCCCAGCCCGTTCCCGGCCAGCGACCCCGAGATACCAAGATCCCGCAATCGCAATCCCGGGAGCGAGCGAGAGAGAGCCCCTTCCCAACCACCCCTCCTCTCTACAGTGAGCGTGGCGGTCCATGGTATGGAATATTGCATTGCCCAAGTTGGGTCTGGTGCTCGGGCCGTGCTCCCTCCCTGCTCCCTGTGCCCTGGCGCACGGGCAGAACAGGGAGAGTTGGGGAGTCCTTGGAGTCTCAGTACCAGCTGGAAACAGCTGTGTGCTACCAGCGCTGTTCTCACACCAAACCCGAAGCCGAATCTAAAACACAGCACTATTCTAGTTACCAAAAAGAAACATTAACTCTCTTCCAGCCCAAACCAGGACAATGCAGAGGAAAAACCTCAATATATTTTTCAAAGTGCTTTTGGTCCTGGTAATAATGAGAAGAGATGAAGTGTGCTATAAAAATGACTGGATGACATCTTACCTCCTTGGAGACCATAGCCATTTCATAGCAAAATGAGAACATTCGATAGGCTACTCAAATGTACAGAAAGGAATCAGCCTTGGCTCAGAGAAATATAGCAAGCTTGCCTTTGGCTCCTCCTCACTTTTTCGGGGTTAAAAACTATGTAATTCCAAAGACTGATAGCTTTTCTTTAAAGAATTATTTGTAATTTCTCAAAGTTTATGGACATTTGAGAAATGGTAAGTTTACTATGCCTTAGTATTTTATTTAAGTTTGGAAGTAGAAAATCATAGAAGAGAAAGACAAACCAAGTGCATCAAACAGGAAGATTTCAATTAACTCTGTTGATATATTACCCAGTTAAGAAAAGAGCCTCAAGAAGTCTATTGTGTAAATACACAGTTTTACAACAGAAACAAGATTTGATTCTATTTTCTAGAGGTGTACACTTATGTAATTTTTGATACATTTTTGACTTGCATAAAATGTAAGGAATTACATACCTTTTAAGTTTTCATAATTGTTGTTTACAATATTGAATAAGCATAAATTGCTACTGTAACACTAATATATTTTGGAAGTTATTGTAATTATGGGGGAAAAATCACTCAAATTTATAAAGATGAAAATATAGTGAGACAATAAGAGAAAAGACTGTACCTTGTAATCTTTACTCCCACCGAACAGGTAATTTCATTTTGCACCTTGCTATTGAGGTTACTAAATCTTTCATTGCTGTCAGTTCTTTGTGCCACATATGCCATTATGTGTCTTCCTGCAGGGGAGGCAGGGAATATGGGGATTCGGTCAGTCCTACCACTTCTTCCTCCTCAAGGTTCTGGTGGAACTCCCTGCATTCTTACCCTGCTCTAGTGTGGAGTGCCTCTCATGGGAGACAGTCCTCCATGAACTTTCTCTAACGTGACTCTTTCCCATGGGCCGCAGACGTTCCCATGCTGCTCTGAAGTAGCTCACTCCCACGTGTTGCAAACCTCCCAGTGTCAAACCACAACAGTGGGGGCTTCTTCCCACAGAGTGCCAGCCTTCTTTGGTCGGAGCCACCTCCTCCACAGACAGCAGGTGTGTCTCTTCTTCACCATGGATCTCCATGAGTGGCAGGGCACTTGGCCCTGCCCTACTGTTAGCAATCACAATTGTAAAGAAAACTCATCTACAGGAAGTAGATAAGCAGGCACTTCTTTATTCCAGCGCTGGGGAACGCGGGGGATAACTCCGCCAAAGACATGTTCTCCAACAGATACAAAGCAAAACATATTTATACAATTTTTCAGCAGATTCATGGTTACATAAGTTCTTTTACATAAAAATGCATAGAATGCTCGCTTCTTAATTTGACCTTTATGATGATTGGTTTTATCAATTATCCAGATTTCTATTCTAAAGTAATCATCGGTTAACTGTACTGATTGTAATCCTTGATATTCAAATCAAAGAGGGAAGGGCAGTGATTAGCATATTCATGTTATTTCCTGGAAATAATTATCATATGCAAATGTCTCTAATGCATGCATGGTTAATTTTTGGACAGGCGTCCTCTGGTGGTCGTCGATAGTCTCCTTCACTGTGTCCTGTGTCCGCTGACTGAACTCCATCCTTGCACGCATCCATTTCAACCTCTGGCTGATCTTCCAAACCAAGGCCAGTTTCTTCTGGTACCCATTGTTTTCATTCAGAGTCCATTATGATTTCCACAGTAATTGAGGCAAACACAATACCAGTTACTTGTTTCTAAGGACCTCGACATACCCTATGTTCTCATAGCTGCTATAACTCTATATCACCCATAAAACCAAAAATCAAAATCATATTCTAAGATTCAAGCTATTTCGCTAGGGTAATTGTAACAGTCTCAAGTCAACAGCATACGTACTTGACCCCTATGTTTTATTTTCTCCAATATGAAAAAGAGTAAGAAAATGAAGTAATTTATACCTACTTTATTACTTGTTCTCAGAGTTCTAGCAGAAATTTTAATTTAATTCCTGAACATGGATATTTCAAAATACTAGCAGTAAATGTAGAATATGTCTGTAATAACTGCTTGTTTTCAAATAAGGTTATACATTTTATCTCAGAGCAGAGATTTATACAAAGCAAGTGTATTAACATATTTGGGGTTGGGTGCCTGTTTTCAGAAAATTTCTTACACTCTTCAACTAACCATTCTTATTTTTTAATTAAATCACTCAAATCATTGTAGCAAACCATTTGAACTGTTTAACATCCTTCTTTGAAGTACTATTGCTTCAAGCATCTAAAGTTAATGAATTGGTCTCCTAAAAAAAAAACATTTGTAGGGGCTGGGGAGTGCCACTTGTTTTTTAGAGTTTTCTGGCATTGCAATTGATATTTTCCAGTCTAATAATGAAAGCAAGCAAGTAGCTGAGGTTCTGGTGTGTTCAAATAATCTTCAGGGTCTAAGGACCATGTTAAGAAGACCAAGTATCACAGGCTTTGTAATAAAATCTCACAAACTGTCATTTTTTTCTTGTCTGTATTGGGTGCATATTTTTTTCCTTTCTGTACTTTGCTGCAGCATTAAATTGTAAATTTCTTAGGATGAGATATTTAGTTAGCATGTGGCTTCAATAAATACATGGAACTATTCTTTGTTATTTTACTTGAGCTAGTGTTTTGGGAAGGTTAGAAACTGAATACCCAGATTTAATCATGGGAGGAATTATTTTAATGCTAGAGAATAATGTCAAACACTGTATACATGACCAGCTGTAATAACCACAGATGTCTAACCCTGATATCCCTGATGAAGATTTATGGTGCTGTCTCCTACTGCTAACTTTGTAGTAAACAGTGTCTTCGATGCTTGAATAGATTTTTCTCCACAAACCTGCTGTACTGTGATGGTAGATAGCCAAAACAAAACCACTGTAAAATTAAAATTTATGTAAAGATAGAATGTACAAGAATAAAATTATTAGTCCAAATCATACTAATTAATTCCATTACCCCAGTCTTGCTGTAATAATACGTAGCTGCTAACCTTTCAGTCAGCCCAGTCTGTCCCAGCCTCAAGCCCTGCACCATCTAGAAACTTAAAGGCAAACCCACATATGAAACTTCTTGATGGAAAAGCAGAAGTCTTTGCCAAGGATGTATTTCCCCCCAAAAAGGGTGCAGATATAAAATATTAGGGAGTATCTTTTGTCTGCATCAGATAAACGTTGATGTCAGTTCACTGCTGTGAAGCAGACTTTATGCATGGTCTGAATTGAATTAGAAACACAAAATAAAGACTGCCACAAAGAAGACAACATTGCTTTATGTTTATTACTAATGTTTACAAAAGTTGTGAATGTAGAGCAATGCTAAAGATTATCTGCTGCTAGAGCATTTTTTGAGATCAATCATCAGACATAGCATGGAGATTTTAAAGGAAGACAGAAATTGAAGGAAAAAATGAGTTTTCTTCTCACATCCTTGTCTCCTCCAGTGGTCTGTTCATGAAATCTTGGATTGCCTGGTGTAGGGGTAACCATTTATTAATTGAAGCTTTCAAAGCTGTAATCCACCTAGAAGAAATGAAAGACTAACAAACAACTTGTCCCTGCTCAAGTGTTATGCATGCATTTTTACATTCTTTGAAATACACCTTTTATAAATGGTGTTTGTATAGCTGTTACTATGCGTGCTTACAGTAAGTGGATTGGAGAGATGCAGGAGATGGAGGAGTTGACTATAACAGCAAATCTTAACACCAATTTCCAACGTACTGTAAAGATTTGTCCTTTGTTCATTAAATTAAAACATAAATCATGTAATTAGTAGACTTTAGACAAGAAGAACTCTCACTGACAGCAGTGGAATTTGGCTGGATTATGATGAGGGGAATTCACCTTCAGAACATGATTTCACAGGCCAATTTTCTTTTTTAATTCTAACGGTCATTGTTGGAAGTAAATCATTCTTAGGAATTAAGATATTCTTTCCATTGTCTCTAATGAGAAGTACCATAACTTTTCTGTGTAGTGTAATCATCCACATATCATTGTGAAAGGCACTTTATCCAGGTTTCTTTCTGAACCTCTGCAAACCAGCCTTGCCAGTTCCAGCATTGACAGTAGCAGAACTGATGACTCACATGTGCCAGCATATTGTACTGCAGTTTGACTAAAGCTACAGTTAAAGGGAAATCTGGGGGAACAAGTGAAAACTGAATGAAAAGTTGTCACTAAATCTTCCCAAGCTACTGTGTTCCTGCTCTCATAAACTCTGGCAAATAAAACTGAAAAAAAAAAATTTGGTTTACCTTTTGTTTTCATTTACATTATCTGCACATAAGTAGAAAGTTTTAAATTCTTCAGATGGAGGTTTGAGTTCAATTACAGATCTCTTGGAGCCCAGAGACTGTTCACTCACAATATACCCCTGGAGGTAAAGGCCACCTGGACAGAATAAAATAGCATGCATCGTTTATATTGCAGGTACCATTTGTGAAATTACTGCCAATTACAAGCATAACAATAATTCTTGCAAGTTGGATTTTCAGGTGTCTTCTGTTGGGTGTTTCAACAGAGTTGTACAGAATTTACATGTAAATATTTTACAATGTGAAAGGTCAGTGTTTTTTTTTTTCTGAAAATAGATTTTAAAATAGTGTAAAACATGCTTCTTGTCCAGCAAATGATCACTAGTATAGTTCTGTTTAGCTTTTCATTAAGTAAGATGTGGCAAAATATTTTTGTGGTTTTTGATATTCTTTTTCTTTCTTTTAAAAACTAAATGGATATGAACAACATTAAAAAAACCCTGGAATCAGCATTGATTCCCTTGTCACCATTAGCAACTGGAACATCATTGCAGGGCACACTAGCCAGCTGTGAAGGAAAGGCATTAAACAGAAATTGGTCTTCAAGACATTATAATTTTAGCTGGTTTTATTTTTAATAATAATAAAAAGTAAATATATATTTATTTATTTATTTTCCCCAGACCTTAGTTCACTGCAATGATGTATATGTTAACTTTATACATATGTGGTGAATAGCCAAAAAGACCTGTGGAGCTATTAACTGCAGCTGAATGTTCCTGTCTTCAGGGTCTGTATTTTTGGGGGGATCTCACATTTAGTGACGAGCATCAAATTAATGCTATAGCACTGAAAATGATATAGGGGGGTGAGAATCTGTAGTGAAATTGGAAAGAACAATAGTTACAATAACAAAACACTATTGTATATAAGAATTTGCATGTAGTAGGATATTTAACCACCAAAATGTCTTATTTAGCAGTAGGAGCATAGGCTTGGGTGTCAGTAACACTTAAAAAACTTAATTTTTGCCTTTCCACCATTTCATTACTTAGCTCTGGGCAAGCCTTAGCTTCAGTTTCATGTAGAGAGAAAATCATATGTATGATTTTTGGCAGATGAAAAGTGCTATGTAAATTGTATAGACTATGAAGTGGAACGCCTCTTGCTCAATCATGTGGCAAATAGCATAAACCTTAAGAAAAGTTTTTTCTTTTGATTTAAAAGCTGGCTAGTAAGCAAAAGTACTACAGCATTTTCTTTCTGATTCTTCTGACTGTCAGCTTCCTTAGCACAGGGAGAGTGCATCTGCAGGTCCTGACTCATCCCTTCTCCCTAGGGCACCTCTTCATTTTTTTAAATACCGACTTTCATAGAGTTGTGCTTGCAGACTCTCCTCAGTGCCTGAAACTCAGATCCTCTGCTTGCAATTCACCCTGGTAACATCAAGTTGCTGCTTTCAGAGTGGCCAGACACCCTCTTCTGGTATGGGGAGAGCTGCTAGATTGTAGCTTTAGGTGCAAATGACTGTGGCCATACTCTGGAGCATCAATCTCTGCTGGAGTAGCAATGTTCTGCCTGTTGGGTGAACCAGCTTTGCCAAAGCCATGTGAAAACCTGGTAGTGGCAGAGAAACCAGTCTAAGTTTATGTTGTCCCTCCCTTGAAGGATGCTACCTAACACATGGGAGTTGACAGCTTTTAGCAGACTGACATCAGTGGGACTGACTCAAGCCACTGTAGAGTGCTTTGGAACGGTGGATCTTGTAGCTGATACTTGCTCCTGAGGCAGTGTGCACAGATCCTGACTAGCTCCATTCCAGAAAGAAAAATTCAGACCATGGGAGGAAAGGGAAAGAAGATGGGGGGGAATGAGGTGGCTATTTTATGAAAAGAGACTTGAGTCTGATCTTCCTTCACTCACCTTCACAGAATAGAGTGAGTTTGCTGATAAGAAACTCATTAATGGTACAAGTTCTATCTGGAAACAGCAATGAAACATTTCTGCTTTAACAATCAATTAAAATCCAGCAGCTGTCCCTACCTTGTGCAGGTGTAGACCGGAGAGTGGCATAAAAGTACAAACAGCCATCCTTCAGAATGCAGTAGTGCTGAATCCAGATGTCTTTGCTTCTGTCCAGCTGGTGGAGAAGCCCCAGGCACTCTGGGTTTTTGATAGCCAAAGGTGGGAGTGTAGTGTTATGCAGAGTGACATCTACCCACACATGGTTCTGCAAATTAAGCATGTAATGAAAAATTCTGGTAAGAAATTAGTCCCTTGCTAGGAAATTAGCTTTTGGTGCGAAAATAATTTGAAAGGTCAACACTGAAAATGAAATTAGAAAAACCTATATTTCATGGCTAATAGTGACCGTCTTCTACTTTCTTCTTAAAATAATACCTTGTATTTTCTGAATCTATTTTGTTTTTCAGTACAAGTTTTGCTGGTAGAAACAGTATTATTTCAAAGCTGTATGAAGAAGCATTTTTTAAAAAAAATTGTGTTGCTGATTGTCTGATTTCAGCAGTCTTTACGGAATGTTATCTGACAAGGCAAGGTTCACATTTACCCTTTGGGTTCCAGAGAAAATGTGGTGGTGTCTGACGACAGAATACAGCACTCAGACTTGGATGGAAGCACTACCACACACAGAATGTTTACAGATGCCTTCCCATCCCTTTCTGGAAAGCAGAGTCTTTTTTATTATTAAAAGTATCCTATTGTCATTTACAGCTGAAGTAAAAGCTTAATCCATGAAACACTGCCATTGTATAGGCTATTTGTATGATAAGAGAATCCAAAAAGAAAATCAGGAGAAAATAAACTGTTGTTTAATAAGACTAAGTTGTCTAATGTGAGATTAAAGCATTTCTTCTTCTCCTTTAAATCTGAGTGGTGTTAGGAACTCAGCCTCTCCTGGTCTATTTTGCTTATCTGCAATACATATTTCAAACTCTACATCAACCAGTGCACTGTCATTTGAAATCCATGGGGAGAATGTGTGCAATATCAATAGCATCCTGTTTGTTTCCACAAGGGTTTTCTTTTGCATTTATAAAGCTATTATGATATTTCTTTAGTATCCTTGACAAGGCAGCGATGGAAAAAAGACCTAGCACAATATGGTTAGCTGTATTCTTTGTTATGAATGGGAAACCTGCTGAGACTTACTGCAGCAAAGCGCAGAAGAGGACTTCAGTAATACTAAATGCACTCATAAAAGAGTTATCTTTCTAGGTTCATTAAGATGACACAGTGTCAGTATATTGGTCTGTTAAATCATTGTGTTGTGAGCTCTACTGTAACACACTAGCTATTGCAAAAAGTCAGTAACAAATAGTATAGCAAGTAAAAAAGAAGGAAAATATAAGCTTTTTCTATTCAACTGCATTGAAAGTCCAGTTAGAAAGAAGGAACAGATACAGTGTTAGACAACGGAAGTGACATATTAAATCAAACATTTATTTCAGAAAAGCATATTGTTTGCTCAAAGACAAAACTAAAAAAGATAAAGCAGTCAAAAAAAAGGTATAGTAGCACAGAAGGAGCCAACTTACTGTGTTGTTAATGGGTGAATGCATGAGAGATCTTTCTGTACAATGTTGGAACTTTTTATCCAACAAGTTATTTTTTCATGTCACACTCAAGATTGACTCTGTTGATGTATTTTCTTTTGTGTATGTGCGCCTTCATCATCCTTTTTGGCTCAGGTTACTTTTTGTTTTGTCTAGGGCACTCACTTTAAATAGTTTGATTTATTTTTTTCTGTTTTCAAGTATGTGGATTCCTTTGTATTGTTTTAAGAAACACTGCCAGGTAGAATATACTTGAAAATGAATCTGGCTTTGCACTTATAATCTTATCTAAAAGCTGAAGCCAAAAGAAACATATGTTTGATTAATGTTATTTCAGTGGAAAAGGGAAGAAAGTAACAATAAACACCTCCTTTGACTGTTTGGAAACCCATCACTAAAGTACACTGCTGAAGAAGTCACTCATGTGCCCTGAGTTGAGAGAAAGAGGAAAGTAAATTTCTTTTTTTTTTTTTTTTTTAATTGCATTAATGCAGATTTTAATTTGTATCTTGTAATTTTCTTATTTTTTTATTGATGATTTTATTTAATCTGCAAAGAAGGTAGACTTTGATATTTACTCTGCATTTGAGCCTCACATTTTTTTCTGCTAAAAATCAACCTGGTTCAGTAGATAAACATTTTTAAAAAAAGATTTTACAGATCGACAGCATATTTTCATAAATGTGGTCCGCCTATAGGAGGAATGAATGCATAAGAATCATGGGGTCAGGAAAGGGCCAGTTAAAGTGGCTTTGACCCCTGTGCTTCCAACCCTGGAAGTACTAAAACTAGCTTTGCAGCTCCCAGTTCAGGGTTCAGTCAGGGAATATTCATACTAAGTTATGTTGGGCTGAGCAAGGTCTCTCTGTAGCAGCTCAAGATCAATTATGGCTATGTTTCTCCCAGCTACAGGGGACAACAGAGTATAGCTTTGTAAAGAGACAGGGATATAAGTCAAAGTTCATCAGCTAACTTATCTTTCTTCACCTCTGAAAATATAGAAAAGAACTCATCAACCCCTCTTCCCCCCACACCTTTCTAATATTCTCTTGGAAAAATCAGATAGCTTTGCAACCAGGACAGACTTGCAAAGAATACTTAAGAATGTATGGCCCTTCTCTCCCTTTACTCCAAACAGTATTACCCTGGACAGAACATATGGTTGTGAGGCATCTCTCCCCTTTCTGCTACCCTCAGTTTAGGTTATGTTTCTGAACCAGTTTAAAGTGGCTGATATATGGAGAGTATTTTGATTCACTCCACCATATCCCAGCAGTCTCGAACAAACATGCAGCTTCCACGTTGCTGTCTGCACTTGACCATATACAAATACATCTACTGTCTCTTAGTCTTCTGCACAATCTGCTATACACATATTTTTCATATAAATAAAGCATTACCTGATGAACAGGATGCACTGCTTTATCCATAGCCTCCAGCCACCTATAATATGACAAAAAATGAGAATAGCTTAGTTTGGCAGAGCAGAATAAATGTGCTTCACTGTCTCTTTTAACTCTTGCTGATATAGACAGCATCTAAAGGGATATGCATTTTTCAGGACACATTCAAGGCCTCAAGGTAGGATAGTGGATTAAGACTAAATAAACATTGCTAACAGAAAAATAAGTCTCAAAGTTTGCTGTGTAACACATTGTAATAAATTAAGGCAATATTGCAAACAAGGCAATCTAAATGTTTTGAATATAATTCAACTTGTCAGGTTAAATGATCACTCTTCTCACGTCTTTCTACAAAGTAGATAAGGAATTTGTGGGAAACATAAAGAATCCTGAAATTGGAGACTACAGAATAAAGTAAGTTATTGGTTAGCAAAGTTTTTTGCAGTACGGATGGTATAGAATTTGAAGTGGAAAATGCTCTGATATTACAATGGTTGGTGCTATGTTAAGTAGTAAGAGGTTATACAAAGATGGGTGGATGAATACCAAATGTCACCCTACTTCATAGCTTTATATTTTTGATAATTCACACACACAAAAAAGGTAGATAAGATTAGATTTTAGTATATTTTGAAATTAAAGCCTAAAAATTTGTGTTTTGGGTGATTTTAGTCTCTTTGTTTCGTCAGTTATAGTCTTTGGGAAATGCAAGAAGAATATTTTTGAAGTCTAACACTCAGTCAAACCCAAACTCATTGCCTTTTATCACAACGAGTATGCTCTTGTGGCATACTGGTATTTTAAAATACCAAAATGATGATATGACAGAATGATAGAAAAGGAAATGGAAGATGGGATTGTATTTATTACCAGCACTGTTCTTGTTGGGCAGAAGAGAGATCATTCATGTGAAATGACCAATAAGCAAGTATATATCCACAGGAAGATTTACACTACTGTTTGATATAACAGTGGGGAGAAGGCATGAAAATATGGGTTAAGACTTTTTCCTAGAGATAAATCAAGAATTCAGGGGGATCTTGAGCAAAGCATAAACATTAAAGACTTTACAAAAAAAAAACAAATTCTCATAAAAAACCCTATGAAGTTGAAAAATAATTTTTGAAACTTCTGCAAATGAAAATTAGAAACACCATTTTCCCATACGTAGATGACAGATTGTATTTTTTTTTTTTTCTACTGATCAAAGTAAGTATTGTGAATGTCCTCCAAAAATTCAGACTCCCTCTCCCCAAACTAGAATAACACAGCTGACCTGTAAAATGCAAGATCACTTACCTCTTCATTTCTTGGTTGGAAGTTGCACAGAAGTAGAAAATCCTGTTTCCACTTTGAGGTATGCATTTAAAAACAAATGGTTTACCCAGACTGGTGTCAACACCAATTTCTGCTCCTTCCAGCTTTGTTACTTCCAGGGGTCTGCACTTCCCTTCATCCTGCAATTAGAGAAAAAGAGTGCCAAAGTTCAGAACTAATATGAAACCAACCTCTGTGAGAGGAGGATAAACTCAGGAAGTAATCAAAGGTGTAAAAGCTGGTGGTAAGCTCTTATGCTTTTGAACCGTCTTATGGTTTAATGATCAGTAGCCCCAGAAAATACAGTGCAGTCACAAAAGATAAACTAATCAAACACTCTCTAAATTTGCATCTCTAATTTTGCTCTCTTAATATTTTTTGGTTTGTCAGAATTCATATCTGCATGTGGAAACCTTGCTAGGTATTTGTAAATATTTCAGCTTTTAAGGGTGCAGCTGAGTGGGAGTGGGATTTTCAAAGTGCGCTGAAGAATCTAGGATCACGAGTGTCTTTACCAATCAATGCTGCTTGCAGTCTGCGTTTATGTTGAAGACCTTATCCTGTATGTGCATAGAGGGAACAATGGCTTACATTCAGAAAATAGGGAGCATAATTTAAAAGGCTGGATTTCAGTTCCTTTAGAAAGTTGCCCCAAATATCGTTATGTTCATAACCCTTCCCATTAATTTCAGACAACTTTCAATGGAAAGCATTTCAAAACCTTTAGTACTACATTGTTCCTGATTGAGTAAAAGCTCTTAGATTGAAGGGCATTGTCAGTGTCTTTCTCTGTGGTTAGTTGTAAGAAGCCATTAAGCTCCTGAATGTAATAAGGTAAGTGATACAGTTTCTCCCTCTGCTTTTCCAATCCAGCTCTCCTCAGGTATATGTCTTAACTCAAAACAAAGGTGCACACATCTGAACAGTGAACTCGAGCTGTGTTTTAAACAGTATTCTTAGCCATCTTGCTTTGAAGGCCTATGACTGGAGCTATAACAATTGCATTAAATTTGGCAGCAATAAAACAGAAAACATGAGTTAATGCTGGGACACAGGAAGAGCATTAGAGCCATTTGTAAAATGGTGGAATCTCTTAGAATAAAATCAGTTGATTATTGGGAGTTAATTAAATGCTGTCAGTAGAAGCTGAATTGTAAATGCCCCATATCATTTTTTTATTATCCTAAAAATAAACATATATATATTCTTCCACAAACAAAACATGCACCTATGGCTGTTAGATAGCTAAATAATTGCTTATATACTCATTGGCATATGTAATTAAACCTTTGTTATACATGAACTTTCTGTAGGAATAAAATAACCCCTAATACTGAAAGCCAGTGTAAATAGACATTCATTAATGCATTTCCTGGATTCTTCTGCTTTCTTCTTTTTTTTCTTTTTTTCGCTCTCTTTTTTTTTTTTTTTTTTTTTTTTAGAGTCAGTACAGAAGATGAAGTCAATCCTGAAAGTTATCAGTGCTGTGTGACCTACTCTACTTGCAATGCCTTCAGACACAGAACTACATTGCAAAAAGAACATAACCAAAATATGTATTTAGGCTCCAAATCTCATTCCTAGTGTAAAGAATAATAAGTGCTAGGTTGATGAAGTGCTATTCAGCAGGATCCTGTCCATGGCGTTGGTTCTCCTGACTGTCCTAGCCTGAAGGCAACAGACACTGCAGATACTGAAGTGGCTGTGTGACCACTGTAATTGCACATCCCTATAAACTCCTTTTCTAAATATTTTCTGTGCTGTCTAGAATGAATGCAGATAGAGCTCTGTGGTATCAAGAATGATTTATGTCTACTCCATTTCAAATGAATACACCTATGAAAGGAATAAGATGAATATGAGGCATTCAAAGTGAGACCAAGTATCCTTCATTGACTAATAGGAAGCCATGCTCCCCTAATTCTGATAAGACAGATGTAAGGGATATTTCTTTTCACTCATGTGGTTTTCATGAATATATCTTGACAACATTCCTTTGACAAATATCCCTTTGTTACAAAAACTGTCAAAGGTATATTGCTAAAAAAATAATTATAAAAGTAATTTCTTATGTCTGTGACTGGAGAGTAACCTACAGATGATATGCCACTATGGAATCTAATCTAACTATGAGGTGCTGCTTGTGTTGATGATACAGAATCATACAGATTTTAAATGAACTAGTTCAGATTTTAGCTACTACTGTTCCATTCTGCACTTAAGTAAAAAAGATATTTTGTTCTCTTGAGGTTGCTCTCAGCTATTTCACAGATTCTTGTCAGTCTGCAGTATCCAACATGGGTAGAATCCTCTGATTGGAAGGTAGAAAGCCTATGCTACTTAGGTAAATGCTGTTCTAAGAAGAATATAAACACCTGAAGTAACCCTTCCCTTGCTGCTAGTTTTCTTAAGAAGGCCCGAGTTTTAGGGGAAATGCTTCTGCAAAAAAATGAAAATATTAAACAATGCGTAACTATGAGAGATTGAAATAAAGAAGAAGTAAGAATGAAAAAGTAGACATCGCCTTCCTTTATTGTATGAAGTGGTCATTATGGGTGGTGAATGTAGCCTGGGAGAGTTCACAAATAAGCCTTATTTA